AGCAGTGGGATTTTACTTATCAGATAAAACTTAGGGAGATGTTTTAAAACTCAGTCTGAGGGAAGAAATTTTCTAATTCAAGCCAAGGTCTGCAACAGCTTTTCTTGTCGTTAAAAAAAACAAACTTGCCTTTCATTTTATATTCAGATTTTATTTGCATTCAGGGAAAACTTTGGTTTCCTCAAATATTCAGTTCTAACAGAAATGTTGGCAGGTTCATTCTCTGGCCTGATTATGATGTGCAGTCTTGTTAGGGAGTGGACTAAGGATCCCCCAGGACTCCTTGAAACATGTTATGAAAGGAATGATTGCTGCTCTGAAGAACATGGCAGCCCCATCACTTATGCAGCTTCCCCTGTTAATCTTTTCTTGGAAAACCTCTAGTGCTGAATAGCTGCTCTCTGAGACAACTATTCCAGAAGTAACCATCTTTCAAGGTAACATTGCCAAGAATGACACCTGTTCCCATGGCCTGCCACTTTATAGTAACCCCAACTTGCAGTGAAATAGATCAGATATGAGGAATAAGCAACTGGAGAAGGGAAAACTGGAGATGGCTCTCAAGTTTTCAGAACCTCATCGTCTCAGTTGGCAAGACCAAGGCCAGAAATAATCTGACATATTTCATAGTTTCATAGTTTGTAGGGTCGGAAGGGACCTGAGCAGATCATCAAGTCCGACCCCCTGCCATGGCAGGAAAGAGTACTGGGGTCAAACGACCCCGATAATATTAATTATTTTATTAAAAACCTGTGGAAACCCAAGAATGAAATGAATGTTCCTAAACTGGGCTTATTTATTTCCAAGTATTAGATGATGGATATTCTACTAAAACCAGAGATGGTTTGGGTATTGAGTTTATTTCACCCAACCCACCAAGAAAGTAGGTGGGGTGGTAGTAGTTTGGGACCTTTTCTGATGACAACAGACTCTCACACAGTCTATTCCCTCTGAAGGTTAGAGGGGAATTTCAGTGTTCTCACATGTCAGCATAGGTACTTACATCAACAAACTGGATTTAGCCCTTTATCAGCATAAAACCAACAATTAAACAGGATGACTTATTTTAGCCTGCCTTACATCCAATTCAGCTACTGGGCTTGGTGAATTTCCTGAGGTTTCCCGATGCTTTTAGTAGTCTGCCATTCACCAAACTTAAATTCTTCATTTTCTGGTGGTGATAATGATGATAATAATAACAATAACAAATTGATTTAAAATAACTTGGGAAAAATCTTTAGCAACTTCATATAGTAAGCATATGCATGCTATTGCTTTATTATACTGAAATGGAAGAAGATTTCTTACTCTGTAAAAAACAAAACAGATCATTTCCAGCTCAAATCCTTTTCAGGCAGTTTGGCAGGACTTCACTCCATATGTTAACATTACACTAAGTATACGTTCTTGCTAAAAAAACAGATTTAAAAAAATTGAAATGTTCTGATGAGATGCAGCATAGTACTTTAGTAAAAAGAAAACTGAAAAAGTTTGGTAACCAATTGGAGCTTACTTTTACTGATTTTTCCCAAATGAGAGCATTGAACATGGAGTGTCTCTGAAAATCAGATGCAAAGCATCTCAGGTTGGACACTGTAAATGTGCAGTTCTCCCAGATTAGTAATTAGTGCAGGGAATTTAAGCTTATATCGTTTCTGCAACAAGTAAAGTGTTTGCAGAGAGAAGAGGAAACGTGTTGAAATGGAGGAAAGAAATAATAGAAATGTCTGCTAATAAATTGAAAGACTGAGGTCTTTTCCTATCCCTAGTAGCTAAGAATGCTTCATATTATACATTTGCTACTGTTTTACCTAGTCAAAATGTAAATATGCAGGTGATAGACATCTATTGGGAAGATTACTGCATTGTATTCACAAAATTCATTCTTGATGCCCAGCTGTTTTTTTCTCACATAATTGCATCCTATTCCAACTAATTATACTTGATTCACAATAAATACATTCCTTCTTTTTTCTGTTTGTATTCCTCACATATTTGGAGATTATTCTCCTGTCGATTGGCCAATCTATCCATTTATTAGAGACCAAAAAATGTTATGAGAAAGTTATTTAAGTTTCAAGATAAAAAAAATAAAAGGAGTTTCAGGTGTACAATTTTCATACAAGTTTTTCCAAAAGGTTACTATGCAACCTTTCTCCAAACGAAAAAAGAAAAAAAATCTCAGAATAAAAGAATGAAATTATATCCTTTGAAAAGCCTGCTGAGGAAGAGTATAAACACTAGACAAAAATCAAATGCATTAGAATAGTGTTATTTAAACTAGTGTCCATCCTTTTACCAGTTTGCTTTTATGTAAAAGTTTCAGTCTGTACTAGAGAGAAATGCTAGTTAATTGCTCCTGAAATTCTTAACTAAATGGAAGTTAACCAGATGATGGAAAGACTACAGTCTTCTAAGGCAGATAAGGTTCTTTGGGTAAATGTGATATCTTTTATTAGACAAACTAAGTAGTTGGAAAAAATGTTCTCTGCAAGCTTTTGGGCACAAACACCCTTCTTTAGTCCTCTAAGGCATATATAGCATATATGTCAGTAAAGTAAAATAAATGCCACAGCTAACTGATTATTGCATACTATGCTTTTCACTTCATCTGAGAGGAATGCCACATGTCACAAAATAGCTACAACCCCTTCTGACACTTTTTCTAACTCCTCTTTTCTTTGTTTTCTCCCCTACACAATCTTCTGGAAGAGTCAAAATAAGAAACAGTATTACCTTATTTGTTCAAATTTAAGACAAGGTTTTTGTTTCCATTTAACTTGGGGGTGGGGGGGAGGATGTCTCTTGTCTTGGATTTGAGCATAAGCAGGGGAGAAGGGGAGGGACAGCCAGCTGATGCAGCCCCATCCCCAACCCAACATCAGAGCTGGAGCCACAACATCTGCTATCCCTCTGGTGCTTCCTCTGCCTCCGCCTCTGCCTCCCCTGGCACTACCTCTGTCTCCTCTCCACTGCTGCTTACCCTCAATGGCTTCAGCTCTGACTGGCTTCAGCTGTGCTCTGGCCTAGGGCACAGAGCAAAAAGTGGCTCCAGCCCTTACCAGACCATATAGCAACAGCAATGATGGTGGCAGCTCCACTGTCAGCCCCAGAGCCAGTGGCAGGACTGGAGCTGCTGCCACCACAACTGCTGCTGCTGAGCCAGGTAGGGGCTGGAGTTACTATTCAATCTGTCTCCTGGGCCAGAGTAAAGCCAGAGCTGGAGCCATGGATAGCTAAGTGGTGCAGGTGGTGGTGCTAGGCAAGGGGGTGGGGGCATATTTGTGGTATCTAATTGTATGTAAAAGCAATAGCCTACTAGCCAACTCCTTATTTCCTTTGATAAAACTTCTCTCCTGTCAGGGTGAATGCCCTCTTAAAATCCCAGGGAGTCTTTGGTGAAAGGGCAAGATAAGAAATAGCCTTCCCCTGAACATATGCCAAGAGGATGTCCACTGACTCTGAGAGTGAATATTACACTTATACCACACTAAATCTGTGGACTATTAAGCAGCATTAAATTTCAGCATTAAAGCAGGGGCCCACAGGAGGTGGGGAGAGCTGTCTCAGCTTGGCAAGATGCTGCAGGCTAGCCACATGGAGATCAGGACCCGTCCCGATCCCCATGTGGCTGGGAGAGCTGTTGCAGCTGCCTCATAGCCCCATGGAGATTAGGATGGGACTGGCACTCCACAAGGCTGGGAGGCAGCTGCCCACCAGTCAGGACAGCGCTCCCCCCTACCCCAACTCAGGGCCAGCCCAACCTCCTCTGGCTGGGATGGAACTGCCCACTATGCTGAGAGAGCTCCTCCACAACCTGGAGCTCCTGCTGGCTGCTGTAAGGGGGCAGAGCAAAGCAGGAGAAGCCCTGGACTGGGCTGCTCCTGTTGGGCTCAGTTTGCTCCCAGCTGGGGTGCATGTGTAAATGTACACTGTGGAGCACTTTAATGAGTCTGAATTTTTTGTGCAGAAAATTCAGGTGCATTAATTGCATATGTAGATGTGCCCACTGTGAACAGCCACACATTAACAGTCAATTCTATTTCTTGACTGCACAGCTCTGAGGGTGTGTCTACATGTTCATTAATGAGCTTTAGGTAATGCTCATTAAATCTAGTACCTCCATAGTGAGGTACTAGAAAAAGGTGTATTAGCCAATTTTAATGTGCATTAGCTTTTTTGTGAGAACACTTTAATGCACAGTAAAAGAACACTTTTTTGTGATACTTTAATGCACATTAAAATAAGCTAATGCACATTCAAATGCACATGTAAATGAGCACTGACTTGCCACTAGAGGACTGGTGAACAAGGGTATGGCTAAGACCCAGAGCACCTGATCTGTATCCCTACTCTGGGGAAGTGGGGCTGGGGGAGGAGTTGAGAGAAATGCATTCTGGGATACTGGGGGACTGCAAATTGCTTCCATGGAGCAAGTTACCCTAACATGATTTAGGTAGCACAGCCCAGAGTTAACCATTGCCTAAAGTAGTGTAACTTTGAGACACTCAGAGGGCACTTAGCATGCATTAACAAGCTTTGGATATTTGTGTTTTAGGTGCCCTTACTATGGTCTGTGTAACTTCACCCTATATGTTGTCAGTCTCAATAGCTCCTACCTCAAGCATTCAGGAGAATACTACAATTCAACAAACAGAGCTCACACCATCCATCCAGCAAAAAATGTGGAAAAGGAATATAAACATGAGTATACAACAATTCATAGTTTCAGCGCCCAAAGGACTGCATCTTTTTCCTCAGAAAATTGTTCTTCTTCCATTTTTTTTACATCATCATCTATTGTGTGAAAAAAAATCACTACTTGGACAGCAAGCATTTAATTTACTGGATATTTATATAGGTTCCTAACTCTTTGCAGTGTTTCTGATATTTTCATCTATTATGAATATTTTGCCCAGCACATAACCTAGTGATTTTGATTGCTGAGTTGAGTTACCATAGTCTCTACCCAGGTTTTCACCCCATTGTGCTAAAAACTGTACAAACTCAAACAGCAGCTTTAGTTTTGAAGCGGTTCCAGTGTTGCAATTGACTAAGTGAAGCAAATTTCAGGACTGGGGCTTCAATAAACAAGATTGACAGAAACTTGGAGAAAGAATGAGGGTAAGGATATTTGAAGTGACTTATTCAGTATTAGTAAATCAGTGGCAGTGTCTTCTGATGGCCAGTCAGTCCAGTGTTTTACCTACTAGATTATGCTGCTTGTCATGGATATAAATGCAAATCGATGATAGATTTTTTTATTTATGAATATGCATGACAGTATAATTAGCATGTATACATTATATAAGTTGCACACATATATATATATATATATATATATACACACACACGTATACATAGCATGGGGACACAGTTCCTCTTTTCTGTGACACTCTGAAAATCACATTTTCTACTTGCACTGATGTTATCAATATCACCCTAACATTTTACTAGCTTCTATTTGGTTTTTAATCCCATTAAATATCCTTACTCACAGTTTATTCTTCATCTAATGAATGTCCTAATTTTTTTTTTTTAAAGAAAAAGGGGTAGACAAAGGATACTATACTGTAGGAGCCAGACTGATCCGGTTAGAGGATAAGGTAAGTGTATGAAAGCTTTTTTTTTCCTGAGTAATGATATCTGATCTAGAGGACCTCAAGATAATATCTGGGTATGATTTACTTAGAACTGCAGGGCACCATAATAAGGAAAAATATCCTAATTTTTCAAAGGGAGATGAAGTTATATATACATGTTAGCATTAACCATTTAACTGCTCTGCAACCTTGATTCTTAGTTTCAAATAGGAATACTTTCAACCTGTAGCCAGGTAACATAAACTTTCTAGACAAATGCTGCATAGTGACAAGGTTTTTGCCTTATCTGAATTATTGTATTAAATATACTACAGAGGCCATTACCAGCACTCTTTGTAAACAGCAACAGCTGATGTCTCACTTGATAATCTTGTGGTTTTCTAAGGTTTACTGTTACTGTTTCTGTGAAGTTACCTTTGCATGTATATTTCCTCATGTTCCTGTCTTCAAGAATTTGTTCATAATTATTATGAATAACCATTTCCTGAAGTGGTACCTAAAGGTGACAACCAGATTGGGCACCATTGTGCTAGACACTGTATGCTTATATATGCATCCTTTTTATTTTTTCCAGTTGCTTTCACTCATAATATTCAAAATAATGAAAAAGCAAGTTTCCTCAGAAGAGGGAACCTGGGTCTGTTGCCATTATTTGGTGTGCTGCTGATATGACTTCCCTGTTCCCTGTAGGTTGGCTGTCCATAGAAACAATACATTTTATGCAGACAGTTAGATGCTTTGTTTTATCATAGTAAAATCCCCTACTGCAACTTGTTTTTCTGATGTATTACCAGTAGTGTAACTAGGGTGGAGCGAGCAGGGCACTAGGTCCCGATGGATAGGTATGAGGGGGTGCCATTAGGGTCCCTTCACCCCAGAACCTTTGCCACAGCTACACAGCCCCTGCCTGGGCTTAGAGGCCCTGAGCATCCCTCTGTCCCATAGTGTATCTGGGGAGCAGAAGCGGGGTGGAATGACTCCTCCCCCCCCCCAGAGGTTTTACCATAAGAAGCATAGCCTTGCCCCCAGGAGTGGGGGGTGAATGGAGCACCAGAAGTCACCCTCAGAGAGCCTGCACCATGGCCTGTGCCTCAGAGGCGGCAGCATGAGCTCATGCTGTTATGGCAGCAGCTGCAACTACCATTCAAGTGAAGACAGCGATGAGCCCCAGCAGGTAAGAATCCTCTCCCGGCCCCCCACGCATTCTCACTCTCCAGTGAGCAGCATTCTTCCAACCCCCCATCCTGGAAACTGAAAAAGCTTGTTACACCTCTGATGTATTATTCATTAGCCATTACAATGGTACAGTTTCTTTAAACACTGTTACTTTGCGTCCCTCTTGAGCGCCATGTTTGCTTTCCGGCTTGGTTTTCTTAGCCGAACAATAAAGTTACCAGCCATCTTAGCTGCATGGTGCGCTCTCTCTCATGCTAGTCTGACTCACATCACAGTGGAGTCATATATAACAGTTGTAATGTTTGAGACAAACAGCTATCTGTGATCCAGGATATCCAGTGCTTGCGGTTCCTCCCTTATACATAAGCTTTTCATCTTGTTTTAAGTTATGTGAAGGGTGTGGGGAAAGCTTTGATGGTTCTTGATAAACTACAGTGCCTCTTATAGAAGTGTCGATAGAAATCATGTAAATATGAAATTTCCACACTTATCTAAATGGCATATTACCTTAACATGGGAATATACAGTGCTGTGATTTTACACAGTCATTTAGCTCCTTGGGTTGCATTGTGTTGCATCCTAAATATAACCAACTTCACTGCAAAGGAATCAATAATACCATTTGTCCACATGAGGACAGTTAGGAAAATTAATCCAAATTAACTTTTAAAGCAGATTGAATAATGTCAGTGCATCATATGGAGAGACTTAATCAAAATGAGCATTGTCTTAATTTGATTTAACCTAAATCGCTCACAAACGGTTTTAATGCTATTTAGCAAATGCACTTTAAATTCACACATTTAGTTCATTCAGGTTACATTTTCCAAATGTTCACAAACAAACAAACCCACAGGGCAGTAGGTCCAGTAACATGATACAGGAAGGTTATCTAGGATAACACTTTCACCCGTTTGTATGGAGAATTATCCTCAATGGACCCTCAGAGGGCTCCTGCCTTACTAAGTACTTCATTTTTTTTCTGATTCCTCCATAATATGAAGAAGGGATGTCAGAGTGTTACTAGTCTAGCTGTTGGGTAGTGTTGGTAATAGCTTAAGAACTTTTAACTTCAGAGTTTTAATTTGGGCAGTGTAAGGTTAGCTTTTTGGGAGAGGTAAAAATGATGTAACAGATGTGGGAATACTCTGTAAAGGTCTACAACATGCAATGCTGAATAAGTGTCATTACAGATCGTGTGTGTCCTGTCCCTACAGCTCACAAAAGCTCTTATTTTCCTCAACATTACCTGGAACTAAACATTTTAGGAATGACAATAACATGGTTTTATTTTATCATATTAAATGTCCCTGATAAGTATTCAGTGCCCATCTACAATGAAGATTCCAAAAGGGTGTTTGAAATGGCATCCACAAAAGTTAAAAAATCAGTCATAAAAGCCCTGTTAACATCGGTCATGTGTAAATACAATGTAAATATAGTTGTTGCAGGTTTAATTTCAAGTGGGAGTGTGGGTAAACCTTAATTACTTTTCTGTTTGATTAATTATAGTATAGCTGTTTAACTTTCCTTGTATTGTGTGGGAACTGGTGATTTCTATCTCAATATTCATTGTTCTAGAGAAAACAAACAGAAAGGAATGAAAATGTATCAAGATAATTTATTGAGTAAACCCCGTAAAATACATTCAGTATCCAACTTCCTTTTGTTTCCAAATCAAACTGCAAATATGAAAAAGGCAAGCAGTAGAGTCTGAAACAGTGAAAGCTGATCTTTTTGTTTTTCAGTACAATTTAACCTCCTATAGTTGTTTATAACTTTATTCATAGAATCATAGAAAATTAGGGTTTGAAGGGACCTCAGGAGGTCATCTAGTTCAACCCCCTGCTTAAAGCAGGATCATCCCCAACTAGATCAGCCCAGCCAAGACTTTGTCTAGCCAGGTCTTAAAAACCTCCAAGGAAGGAGAGGCCACAAGCTCTCTGGGTAACCTGTTCCCATGTTTTACTACCCTTCTAGTGAGAAAATTCTTCCTAATAGTTTCATAGTTTCATAGTTGGTAGGGTCAGAAGGGACCTAAACAGATCATCAAGTCCGATCCCCTGCCATGGCAGGAAAAAGTACTGGGGTCAAATGACCCCGGCAAGGTGTTCATCCAGCCTCCTTTTGAAGACCCCCAGTGTAGGAGTGAGCACCACTTCCCTTGGAATAATAACCTAATAATATCTAACCTAAACTTCCCTTGCTGCAACTTGAGACCATTCCTTGTTCTGTCATCTGCTACCACTAAAAACAGTCCAGCTCCATCCTCTTTCAAACCCCCCTTCAGGTAGCTGAAGGCTGCTATTAAATCCCCTCTCAGTCTTCTCTTCTCTAGACTAAATAAGCCCAGTTCCCTCAGCCTCTCCTCATAAGTCATGTGCCTCAGCCCCTCACTATTTTCATTGCCCTCTGTTGGCCTCTCTCCAATTTTTCCATATCCTTTCTGTACTGGGGGGCCCAAAACTAAACACAGTACTCCCTCACAAATGCTGAATAGAGGGGAATAATCACTTCCCTTGATCTGCTGGCAACACTCCTACCAATGCAGCCCAGTATGCCATTAGCCTTCAATAAGGGCACACTGCTGGCTCATATTCAGCGTATTGTCCACTGTAACCCCCAGGTCCTTTTCTGCAGAGTTGCTGCCCAGGCAATCAGCCCCCAGCCTGTACTGGTGCATGGGATGTTCCATCCTAAGTGCAGGACTTTGCACTTGTCCTTGTTGAACCTCATAAGATTCCTTTTGGCCCAATGCTTCAATTTGTCTAGGTCACTCTGAATCCCAACTCTACCCTCCAACATATCTACTACCCCCCCGCAACTTGGTGTCATCTGCAAACTTGCTGAGGGTACACTCTATGCCATCTTTTAGGTTGTTGATGAAGTTATTGAACAAAACCAGCCTTAGGAACAACTCCTGGGACACTCCACATGATATCGGCTGCCAACTAGACATCAAGCCATTGATTACAACCCTCTGAGCCTGATGCACCAGTCAGTTTTTTATCCCCCATACAGTCCATTCACCCAGCCTGTACTTCCTGAGCTTGCCTGCAAGAATGTTGTGGGAGACCATATCAAAAGCCTTGCTAAAATCAAGGTATACCACAATCAAGGTATAGTCCTATATCTATCATTAAAAAGGAAAACATTTATCCTGTATATTTTAATAAAAGTTTTTTGCCTCTCAGGGGGCTAAGGTATATTTGCTTGCTTACTAGGATGAAAGCTAGAGGTCCTCAATATTTTTATTTTAATAGGACAATAGAATCTATTTTTCCTACAGTCAGGTGGCCTCCCCTGAACCATTTTCCCATGCTGAATCTCCTTTATTATGGTTTTCCTTATGATAACTATGATGTATCCCATTTTGAAATAACAGTGGAGCCAGGAACGACAAGGCAGCTAGAATGATGAAAAATAATTGTGTCTTAGAACTTGGTACCTTGGGAATTAACCCCAAGGAAGAGATATCAGCCTCCCAACCAAAGTGATACACCTGATTAAAATGACACATTTTTGGACAGAGGCCAGTTAGTTTAGATGGTTTAAAATGCAGCCATGGATTTTTATGTTTATCCAGTTAAAAATGTGATATCTACATGAAGCTAACACATTTCTGCTTCAGCCTGGTCTTTCTCACTAGCATTTTCTTGAGTTGGTTTTACCTTTATGTGTAAAAGGATATCATGCATCAATCACCCATTCAGAAGTGTGTATATGGTTTTACATGCAGCCATAATAATTGTTTGCTCATAGATTTTCAGGGAGGAACCATGTATTTTTATGTTGAAGATGGGCTTTAAACTTGTAGATGTTTCCTT